GAGAGTCAAATAAGGATAATGACCTGAAATGCACACCAACGACCTTCTGCTTAGAGGAGGCATCGAGGTTAAAGGTGCTTGCAAGCGGAATTCTGAGGGCACTTCGAACACCGGTCTGGAGTTCGAATTTGCTTGAACTTATTTTACCCAAAGATCATAGGCTAGAAACCTCAAACAACTAGAAAAAGTGAGCGCACATTCAGACCTATCTACCCTGTGACCTTTATGTTCTTCGCTCCGTTCGTTCTCGAGATCTGAGGAATCAACTTCACTCTCCTACCCGGGCGTGTCGCATTCAACCGGCCACCCAGGTGTTTCGGGAATCTTTTGGATTCATTCTACAGAACAACGTAAAATTGGCATGATATTTTGTTCCTCATAACCATAAGTTCTTATTTCCCGCAGGTCAACACACGCTCCGGTGGGGAGTCAAATTGACCCCCAAAGGTTTTCTCGAACTGGTTCCCTGACGGCACGGCACAGCCACGCAAAACTCTTTAGAGCTACAGAGAATTGAATAACAAGTTATTTGATGTAAAATATTAGAAGTGCCTTGTACGGTCAATGGCTTATGGCAGGTAAAAATCAGGCAATGGCTTCCAACGAGGGGAATTTCTGGGAATTTTTTTTGCATTTTTTGGGGAATTTCTGGGGAATTGTTTGATGTGGAGCACCAACGGAGCATTAGACGAAGCCATACCGATCTGAGATAGTTGTGTAGGCAATAAACCAACTACATTTATATTTACGGCCCATTCCATTGACCAAGGATCAGCTATTAAGGTCAGACTGAATTAAAAATTGACCGTTTTTCCGGTGGGCCTGGTAAACGGGGAAGTTTCTGGTGCTTATTTCGAATTTATGAATGACAGGGCCCGCAATAAATATATTTTATGGACTTCAAAAGGTCAGAAGAGGACACTGAACTAAAATGATTCGGGTCTAACATTTTGTTGTTGGGAGCATACCGCCCAGCGTAATCCCTGGCTTATAAAGGGCAAACAAGTTCATTGTCCCTAGATAAGACAGTAGTATAAGCATCATTCCTCATTCATCATTAGCCTCATTCCTCGGATAAAAACCAGCTATTCAACTATAGAGAATTAAATGACAAGTTGTTTGATGTAAAAAGTTAGAAGTACCTTATACGGTCAATGCACTGGACGACTTTTTACTGACTTTAATTGATCTACATTGGCACTTTTCTTAGAACAGGTAGCTAGCTTCACGGTGGGTGCATAATGACGTCTGGGGGCAATGGAGACACCAATTTGGAGTTTGACTTTGTCTGACCTTATATGACCCTAAGATCAGAAATTGCGAGCCTCAGTTTCGTACTCAGGTGAGTTCGCGTACAGGCCAACCAACCCTGTAAATTTGACATATCTAGCTATATCAGCTACTGGGATCTCGGGAGGGTGAAATTGACCCACCACCCGAGCTAGAGTACTCAACACGCCACCCGCAAGCGTGTGAACAAAAGTGTTACGCTGGGGCTTTGTGGGTATGCTGTATGAGTCCAATCAACTGTTGAAATCGACAGGTTTTTGGGGCATGCTAAATGTATATTTTTAAGGTCATTGATATCGATCCATTCTGAGCCCATTACGTTAATGGGCTTGTACCGGCTTTGCACGTTTCATTTTTTCGCCTTCGCTGCTCTACGTAAAGCTTAAAAGCTTCGATTTTTCCGACAGCGGAATGAGCACATGGGCCAGCCTTGAAAGTGGCTGATGTTTTGACAATGCATATTATCTAATAGGAGTGAGATTTTGGCCTGTTCTTCTGTTCCATTTCTCGTCGAGTCGTCGGTATTTGGTACTTCGTTCCGCGATCGTATCGGTACCACAACTTAGGTAAATTCAAAGGATTTTTACTGATTGTACCACAGCAATGTTCAGGTCGGTATATGCTTTTAACCGGGTAGCAATTGAATATTCGCAGACGCAATATTCTATTTTAAGCTATTTTCAGTGCGGAGGACAGAAATAAGCTAACTTATTTAGGAGCGCTATTGAGGATTTGTTCGGGTCATCAAGGAGCAGAATCACGTCAGCGTACTGAGACGAGAATCTCTTTGGATGGCGAACTATGCCCCCCCCCCCCCCCCCGCTTAATTTGCTTGACTGGTAGATCTCACCTGCTAGTGCTTTTGCGGCAACGTTAAACAAATATACCGAAGATGAGCCCCGACTTATTCCGCTCGGTAAGTTTATTTTTGGACCCGGATGTTTATTAAGCATTATGCTTGCAGTTGTATGAATCTAAGTATAACAGATCGGTCGTTCCTTGGGCATGCCTGCCAAAACAGAGCTTCTTATTCACTGTCCTTAATAAGTTTCAAGTTACGGCCTCGAGGGCATCTTCAAAGCCTGTGGTGATGATTATTATGGCTATATGTTTGCCCGGGTTGAGACTGCTACATCAAACAATGATGCCATATTTTCTCCCACGTACCTTCTAAAAGTATATTCTGTTTGAAGGGGACAAATTAATGCCTCCATTACACATTTAAATAAATTTGCTACTTCAGCGGAAGTTTTTACACTCGACGCCGATGAGTGTGGTTGGCCTTCATCCTTTCAAGGCATCGGGGCCTTTTCCTTGGTCGGGAATCAGTTCATGGATTCCACCTCTGCGTGAGGCAGGACTTGGTCTTACCTTGACAATGCGGTAAAGGCGCGATGTAGTTCGATGCACGATGTATGGCCCTAGTTCTAACCAAAATTTTATAAAACAATGCAACCAGAAGGCCATCGGCAAAGCCAAGTTTGTTCACTTTCGTACAGTAGCTCGTCGTGAAAATGACTAAGATGCATATAACATATTACTTACATCATTAGCGCCATGCCACGAAACAACGGACTAGAGAACCAAAGTTAAGGGGGAAACGGCATTGGCGACCACATTTTCGAAACTTCGAAAAGACCGTAATTTGCAAATGCCACAACTCCTTGTGCTTTTTTCATATCCCTTTGTCATAGCATCATAAGATGAATATTTGCAACAAACAGCTTGTTATTCGGACGTAAAAAGCACACAAATGTCTGCTTCTTCTGTGGAGGAACTGTAGGAATTCTTACTCACTTTTTTTGATACTCTCCGAAAGAGCATATATTCATACAATCAGGTTTTCAGATTAAAGCAACGTTATACTTAAGAAATTGACACACACATTGCAAACAGTCTTTTGGTGGGCGATATATCGAGTGTCGATGCACTTGCGTTGCCAGTGGAAAAATGCACGCGATCCAAAGGTACGGACAAAGAGAGTGTCACTTGGGCTTCCAACGATGCTGAGCGTACTAACTCAGACATCAGACTAACTTTAGACGCTAGGCATCTATTAGTACTTAACGTACTAATAGAGGCTTACTACACAGTGCGTTATGTTATGGTAAGTCACAAAATGCACTACATTTCTACAGACGTGCCTGTTTAGGTGAGTTCAAGCCTGGAAAACTATATTTTGTAGTAAACCAAAACTTCTTTACCCAAAATCAAACAACAATTTGAAACTTGGGACGTCTGTGGGTACACTTCAAGTAAAAGTTGTCACGTACTTCCCGTTTACATCTAAGTCAATCACGCTACGCCTGGCAATCATCTAAGCCAATCATAATTTACTGCTGGCAACCATCACCTGTTGTTTTTTTCAGACACCCAAGATGTGTCTTGCTTTTGTGCTCCAAGACCGCCTGCCTAATTATCTACAGTTAATCAAAGATTGGCGTCGCTTTGCCTCACCGTCCGTGCGTTGCTCTGGGAAGCCTCAGGGGGTCATATTGACCCTGCGCCGAGTGCTTGTTTACACGCTAGAATTCCGAGATAACGTTGGAGGCTGCGCTCCGCCACTTTGCACAGCTTCAGGCAATTAAATAGCCAATCATTTGGTATAAAGCCTGAATATAGCTCGCAAGGTTGCTGAGTTGCACCAGGTCAAAGCCAGGGCATGGCTGTTGGCGGGGGCAATTCCAGTGGAATCGGTAAAATGTGACGTGACATCGAGGTTTCAGATGATGTCATGCAATTTTAAGGTGTTTTGTTAGGTAATTAGACAACTGATGAAAATAACGAATAATTCCATAGACCATATGTCAGCAATGAAGGCCAGATCAAAGTTAAAGCCCAAATGATTTAGCACCGGATTTTTTATCAGCAGTTTCTGACGCCCATTTTGAATTGTTTGATCACAGGGACGTCAAAAGGCATCTTCTATTGACTTCATGAGGTCAGAAAAACCACTGACCAAAAATGACCAGACTTGTCAACCTTTTCTTTTACGGGCATTCCGCCTGGCGTGGTTCTTGACGCTAATTCTGCATTCAGCTACCGGTACAATATTGAGTTTTTGTTTCTTGGAGAACCTGTTAAGACTTTTTGTAGATCTTGTTTGAAGACCTTGAAAGGCATTGTTTGACCTTATTTGCTGCAAAGATCACAGCTAAATGACCTCAAATTTTGACACAAATAGGTTCAAATAGCCTTATTTGCCTTGCGAATTTGGCGGGTGCCGTGGTTGGTCGTTAAAGTTAAAGAGACAAATAAAAAGATGTGTTGCTTATGTTGATGATCCTATTATATTGATGACAAGTATTCCATGAGCCAAAAAGCCGCAAGTAATGGCGTGCAAGGCAACTATTCCCGAGGACCGTGGCATGTGTCTAGCATTGACAAAACGCTGATGCAAAATTTTCTCGATTGTGACAGTCAGCAAGCGTCAGGGCAGACGAGTTGGGCACGCGAACCAATCGATGTGATAATAACCAAGGCAAAGTGGATGAAACAGGCTTACATACACGGATTGTTCTGAATTCGATGCAACAGTGACCCATTGTGCGTCGTACTACTTTGAACTCGCAGCCATCCCTTGTCATCTGGCATGGAGCCAAGTCAGAGACATCGGCTCCGCCCGGGAAATCCATCTTGGGTACACTGAGTGGCAGCGGCCTGGTGGACGTCGCGGGGCGGGAGGGAGGGGAGGCATAAGGGCGGCGTACCTTCCTGCTCGTGGTCCGGCATCTGGGAGCGGCGCACCTGTGTCTCGGACTGCTGTCGGCGGCGTGGCGAGCTGTCGCCGTGGCAACGATCGAGCGCAGCCCGCTGCGCCGCTCCGACGGCGGCCACGGCGCCGTCCGTCCCGACCACCCACTCGGTCGCCCGGCCCGCATGGCGGCGGCTGGTGGGGAGGAGCAGGGGTCCGGCGGCCCTCCCCGCGACGCCGGCCCCCACGCGGACTGTGCTGCCCGCCACCCGCACGACGTCCTGGCACCCGCCGTCCCCTCGTCACACTCAGCGGCGCCACGAGACCTGAGCCTACACGAGATCAGTGTGCTGGCCACACTGGGGAAGACGATTGACACGGACTTGTTGCGGGACTCGTATCAGTATATATGGTATTACTGCGCTGTTGACCATGATGAAGACGGCAGGCACGATGCGGCATGGAACCAGAATACTGTTGACCGTTGGGTGGTTATTAGTCGCAATCAGTGTGTAACGTCTCATGTACGTGGTTATTAGTCGCAATCAATGTGTAACGTCTCATGTACGTGGTTATTAGTCGCAATCAGTGTGTAGCGTCTCATGTACGTGGTTATTAGTCGCAATCAGTGTGTAACGTCTCATGTACGTGGTTATTAGTCGCAATCAGTGTGTAACGTCTCATGTACGTGGTTATTAGTCGCAATCAGTGTGTAACGTCTCATGTACGTGGTTATTAGTCGCAATCAGTGTGTAACGTCTCATGTACGTGGTTACTAGTCGCAATCAGTGTGTAACGTCTCATGTACGTAGTCATGTACGTCATGTACGCATAACGTCGGGCATGAAGCCATAAGCGAGTTAGTTTACTTGTGATCTGTGAGTGAACTGTGAATGATCTGTGAGTGATCTGAAACGAGACCTGTGGCGTGATATGTGGTGTGATTTGGGACGTGATCTATGACGTGATCTGTGAGGTGGTCTGTAGCGTGATATGTAGTGCGGTATGTGACGTGATCTGTAACGTGATATGTGGTGTGATCTGTGACGCGATATGTGACGTGATATGTGGTGTGATTTGGGACGTGATCTATGACGTGATATGTAACGTGCCATGTGATATGATATGTGACGTGATATGTGACATGATCTGTGCCGTGATATGTGACGTGATCTGTGTTGTGAACCATCAGTAAACTGTGATGTGATAGGTGACTCAATCTATAAATGAACCTGACATGTGAGCGAGCTGTGACGTGGTGTGTGCGTGGTGTGTGATATTATCTGTGGCGTGATCTGTAAGTGATCTGTGACGCGATCTGTGACGTGACCTGTGACATGGCACGTGACGTGATCTGAGACGTGATCTGTGAGTGCAGGTCGGTATGTTTTCCTCACTGTGCCGAGCTCAGCGAGTTGCTTCCTCGCGCAGAAAGCGTGTACAAAATGGTTAACCCTATCGGCGATGTTCATAGTTAGCGTAGTGCTTGTTTAGAAACGATGCAAATCAAGCATTTGAAGTGGCATACATCCAAGCCTGAAACTGAACAAAGCTGATACGTCCATGATCGTTCTGGCTCCGTTCACAGGGTAAAGGAAGACATCGGGGTCAGAGAGCTGCATGCATGGGACGTGCGGCGCAAAAAAAACTGTTTTCAGGACAGAGATAAGGCGAACAAAAGAGCTTCTGCGTCACCCGCCGAGGCGTCGTGTTGCGGCGTGTCTTAATGCCGAAGGTCAGCCATCCGCCATGTCAGGCGCACGTGGCGTCGCGTGCATGTGCCTGACGTCCGCTGCCTGGTGACAGGTGCATTCCTGCTCTTCCGCACGCTAGGCCTGGGCACGATACCAAGTGCATTTGCCTGATTGTGCACCGGCGTAAAGATGAGAATCAAAGTCAGTCAGGAGAGAAGTATGGCGAATAAAAGGGCGAAACTGCATGCCTAATGTGTAACACTTATGTCACCGTAAACCAACACATGTAGGCCAGCATATGCAATCTCACAGCCACCGTAAGATAAGCCAGAGCGACGATCAAACGCATGACCCGAACTTCTTACCTTCAGATTTGCCAGGGAAATCACACACATCGAATGAGAAATAAGTTGCAAGGTGTACGATAAGTGGGGCCACCAAGTGCAGCCCTTTTTCGGCGAAGCTCACTGTTACGGCGAAGCTCACTGTTACGGCAAAGCAGCACTTCCATTGGCTTTGCCGGCTGTGTTTTGGGGTCACTTAAGAGTCATTGACAACAGACAACAGAGGCAACACAGAGGTATTGCAGCAGCATTGATAATTGGCAGTGGCGAAATTAGGGAGATTTTGCATTTGCAGTGGTGACAAGTGCGGTTTTCCTGAAATTTTGATACGCGTAACATCGCTCCAACCGCAGTGGAAACCTGGAAAGCAAGATTTGAACGTTCCTGGTAGTCAGCACATCACACCCGGCTCTTGCCAGGCATCCCGGCAATTAGAGGTCAGGTCGGCCAGTGAATGTCATGAATGGTGTTGAATGGATCCCGCAATGACGCTAAGATTTGCCAGCGCGCGTGTTCAAAACCATATTACGTAATTTTCCAATCAATTTTGACTGAATTTTGACCAAGCCATGTCAATGCAAATTTGATACTCTATTTCGATCTACAATTTACGATCAAAGGGTTCTCATTATTTCTGGAGAACACATAGGAAAGAATATGAAATTGGAGTACATGTGACAGTTATGGGACCACCTGCGGCGACCAGGGATGCCGTTACGCCACTGATGGTTCCTGTGCTCATCCGAGGCCAGCTGTGTGGGCCAGAAGACCCGCGCGTCAGCAAGGGGAGCAATATGATGTGGTGTATCCCACTAAAGGCCTCCGGATCGACCAGGGATCCCGCACCGCGTCACCAGGATGGCAGCCGGAAGACTCCCGCGATGGGACGGAATAGCCCTTCAGCTCTTTACCGAGAACGGTAATGTGCCCCGAGAGTTCTACTTAAGGAGCCCTCTGCCCAGAAGGAAATAGGGGCCTCATTATTATTGAATAGCGCGGGTCGAAATGAGTTAAAAATCGAGCGAGGCCATCCCACGTTTGCCTGAAAACGCTAATTCTCTCGCCAAATGGACTGGTAAAACAAGTTGCTTCTGGTTTCTGTTTCTGTTCTGGTTACGAGGTAAAAATAACAATAAAACGAGGGAAACTAAGTCCGTCGTAAACAAGTTAGCTATATCCGGTGATTTTGAGGGATCACTATCAAGGCCGCTTTCGTCAATCATGTGCCCCCCCCCCCCCCCGGGGAAGGCTCTGGTTACGCCCCCGGCTGCATGCAAAGGTAGGTCAATCGGCTACATTAAATGAAGGGCAATTAAATGTCTGTTGGACCAACTCATGCCGAAGGAAGGCAGCTTTCCGATTTTTTCTGCAGTGGTTTAGTGTGAGGAAAGAGAGTTCAGAAAAAGATTGTGCCGCAGGTGTCCAATATATGTCTTACATGCCAATAAATAGTAATGCTGATCCATAAATATGCGGCCAAGCATCCATACGATCAATGTGCGGTCAGTCATGCGGGGATAGTCGGGCCAGGGCAGTGGGCGCCGAAGCCGGATGGGAGCAGGGCTCGGATAAAAAGATCTTGTAATGTATGACAGAAGGGCCTTTATTCTGTGACTCGGGCTTTTTACGCGAAAATCTCCAGTTTTATGGTTTTTGTCACATTGTTCTCGACAGTCAGTATTTAAAGCCTCCGAATTTGTTTCCGGCTAACATGTCACGATGAATGGTATCCTTGAAAAGCAGCCGGCGAAATCTGGGGCATGAAAACTCTCAAAAATGGAGGATGGAAAATGATGAAATAAGAGTCTCAAAAATGGAGGCATGGAAACCCCATTTTTAGCCCCTCCCCCATTCAGTCATCAGACTTGCTTTCTAGAAAAAAATCATTGAAGTATACCTTGAGCATGCTCTCCCCCCAAGCCCACGTTTTGAAATGTTCGTACACCTATGTATGTCACAATACCTTCTAAGCATGTAGCTCGTTAAATTATTAAGTACGAAGTACTTTCATATTCCTTGTGCATGGATAAGACCAGTGATTAAATATCTCATTTCGTTTCACCGTGCTTGGTTTCCGTGATATATCACATGAAAAATGTCAGAGCAAGACTGCTACCAAAGTGCCCCGAAGGAGACAAATGAAGCGGACACTTGAGCCCAAGAGGCCGCGCGTCCTGATTCGAAACAAGACAAAATATGCTTTGAACCTGCATTGGCCGCCACAGTATCTCAGTGAGTAACAGTGCCCGCCTTGACTCAGCTGCGTCAGGGTGAGTATGGAGTCGCTTCGGTGCTCGCTATTTGCTCCTGACTTGGAGCGCCTGCGGCCGGGGTCAGCGGTCGCCCAAGATCAGTAGGGTGGACTCAGCCGAACATTATCACACGTTAAACTTCTGCCGCAAAGTTCTGCCGTTCAGCTGGAATTCTACGATCGGATTATCGGTCGACCAAGGCTCGCACAGCAAGAGCAAGCCACTGCGTAGAGTAGGCCTGGACCTCAGGATTCCATCAAATTCAGTCACATTTTGCATGTTCTTTTCATATATTAAACATTACTGGAATGGTTTGCATTGGTGGCTTTGGCCTCAGGCTACCTATGTGAACTACAGTTTGTACCTCGTGTGATGAGCCGTCAACTCAATAGGGTAACTGCAATCGAACGGCCAATTTTGCCTGCGGTCATTTATCCACACGAGACCAATCGGAGGGACATTTTTCATGCCGTGCGAGGCTACGGGACAGCTGCTCCGTGCCAGGCTGGCTCTCTGATCACCAGCCAGAAGACCACTGGGAAAGCAATCAGCTTTTTGCGGGTCTCCAACCCAGCGCCACCAGATCCAAATGAGCCATCTTTCTCCTGGGGCCGAAATCGGCCATTGCGGCACGAAGATAGAACATCTGCCGATAGAGCCGATCCGAGCTAATTATTGCAGACCTTGAATGCGTTTAGATCTAGCATCACAATGCTGCATTTACGGCGCTATTCTCTCAAAACATTCCACAAAGTTCGAATAGAAAAAGCATGATGTAGAAGCCTGC